TCATGTCAGGTAATTGAAAGTGCTTTACCTTGAGGATCCCACCCAGGTTGGTGAGCTGCTCTTCCTCTGAGGTGACCATGGCAGAACAGACAGCAAGCTTCCTAGGTACCTGTTAATGTGGAGATCCCTGCTGCCCTTGCACTCATGAGCACTATAGAAGACTGGGACTTTAGCCAGCTTGGGTGCCTGGGACATGATGCAGCAAGGAGAATTTCCTCTTCTTGGCCACTTGCATCCCTCTGGCAGAGTTAGCAAATCAGGATCACTCTGGGAATGTACAGCCCTCAAAGGACCCTTTGGGAAAGGTGCTGAAGACTTGGAGGAAGATCGACCGGACTTCTGAACTGAGGAGCTTGAGTGTTGGCATTTGGGGTTGTGGCTGGGGCAGGTTAGTTACCCCCTCTCTGCAATTATGTGGAGGCACAGCCCTTACACCTGCTACTGCTTGTGAGTTCCTCCACTTGATACTTGTGAGCATCAATGCCACTTTGAAAATCTACCACTAGAGTCTCTTCCACCTGCCCAATACCCTCTGGCCTCTACCCCAATTCATTGATCAAGTCAATTTGATAAGAGTCTACACTTTTCCTTCCCTAAACCTTGTGGCTAAATAATCCTTACCTCAAAACATGTTTGTGAAATCTATAGTGGGATCCAGGATGTGTAAGAAAGGAATATGAGGATGTCACGTTTTGTGTGATGCTGGGAAACTTCACCCCAATTAACAACCTCCCTTAATTAGTTTATATACACTCCCCAGTGGAAGTGATTTCGTTTCTTTGTAATTATTTCAGTCTTTGTTACCTGGGTTTTTTTTTTCTTTTTATTTTTTAAGTATGAACCATTCCAATTACTTTTTCATCTTGTTTTGTCATCCTGGTACCTTTAACACTGATGCTGTGGCATTTCAAACCAAAGTGGTAGGGCGTGGCAGCTGAAGGTATAGAGCAGTGTCTTAAGTGAGAGATATATATACCAGGGGTGCCAAAAAAAAGGAGAAAAACAAAACCGTATACAAGTGGCCACTTTGGTCAAT